CAAACTCAAGAGTGGTTTCATGAACATCAGGATGAAGTCAAACACTTTCCCTGTCCTCCCTAATCACCAGATCCAAATATCAGTGAAGCTTTATGGGAAGTTCTGGACCAAGAGTACTCCAGAAAGTAGTTTTGAACCTCCTTAATCCTTCAAAGAACTGGACCCAATACTTTTTGAAGAATGTCCCACTACACACATTTTAAGACTCATGTGAAGAGGTTCCAATGATGACTGAAGCTGTTCTGAAGGCACAAGGGTGGTGCATTTGCTCCTTGATATTTAATCCTAGATATTTAAACATTGCTAGTTGTTTCCATTATATTGTCACCTCCCCCCCCCCATAGTTAATTTATAATTTTATTAAAGTTCCTTGTAAGTGTCATTGTTGTGATGCTTGTGAAATATATAATAAATAGACATTTGCTGTAGTTTTAAAACCTCAAGTTTTTTCTCTGTCCAACAAGGTTTAAATACAAAAAAAATCCATTCACTTTTTTCAAAAAAGGCACCTTACAAATATGCAAATTAATATAGTATTCCAAATGTACACTGTAGAACAAAGAAATGTAAATGACTAAATGCTACAGAGGAGTGTAGGAGGCATGACCCGGGCGACAGGTGTGTGCGGCGGTAAATGACAGGCCGGGCGTTCCTGGCAACTGCCCAGTGACCGTCTAGCGGGGTGCTGACAGCTAACTGGCACAGGTGGACCAAAGAATCTGCCGCATGTGATCCTGCCTTCCGCTTCTCTCTTATGTTACAGTGGCAGCATCATCAAAGGAGGTACGTCTGCCAGAGGTACTGCTCCCTCTCAAAATAAAGGAAACACATGCTTAACCGATTCAAATTTCTTTTTTCATCTTATTCTCTCCTTAACAGTTAAATGCAGAACAGTATTAATGTATGTCCCTTACCTGCAGGTAAAGAGATATTGGGGTGTTTGCAGATGTAGCAGCATAAAAGGAAACCGAGTGCCAGTTAGCCTTGAGAAATTCAACGTAGGTTGCACGCGAAACGTTTCTTGTAAAAATAAGATGGTGTCGTACACCTGAAATGCTTAATGGGTAAATCGACCAGACCGGATATTGTATTATTTTCCAGCGTATTGCTCCAGGTTTGTGGCCCTAGCAAAGGTCAAATACAAACAGGCAAAGCAGCGCAAATCCATCAGGAGACTCCGGCTCCGTGTAGGCAGATTGCGTGAGAAGCCGTCCCTTATTATACATGCTATATTTCTCTACGTCACTAAAAGTTTCCATAACTCTGTCCAAACTGAACCACAAGACAGCACAAGCATGATTTTTTGATGAAGGACAATACACAGGGGCATTCCCAAATGCAGACGGGCCTTTTGAACACAAGCACTGACTGCTGAATGGATATCGATAGGAACTAGAGGGAATGGTTTCCATTTTTCGCACAGGATGCCGAAGCACCAAGCAACGCCACTGCCAAGTGTAATTCTCAAATGATCGTCCTCAAATCCCAGAGCCGGCAGTAAGAGTACAGCAGTGCTTGTTGCTTTTCTTGATCCCTGTTATCTGCTCATGTTTCCACACGTATGTCCTGTTTTTTCATTAAGGTGTTTATTTAATGCGGTGTATAGAAGTGTTGGGTTAAACCCTCGTTGGTCAATAACAGTGCTCAGTAATGCCAGCCAGCGTGAGATTCCCATCTGAGTTTCTCCCATTGCTAGTATTCAGACAAAAATAACAAGTCAGTCATCAGAATCTATAGGGCTGTTTTGTCCATATGCTGCTCGTATTGATAATGCAGGAATGATATCATATATGCCTGTTGGCTGAAACTCTGGATATGTGACTCCAGACTCCTGATGACTGGCCTGATACTGATGTCTGTCAGGGTGTCTGGGGAGGGAGCAGGGAGACAGCCGCAGATGACTCACACAACATCCTCTGTTCATAATTAATGTGACCGTGATCAAAATTACAGAAAATAAATAACCCCCCTGCCCTGAAATGCATGTCTACAGTGCCTCCATTTATCACATCTAATGGGTTAGAGCCTTAAAGGGCTGACTTAAAGGGGGAAGGCACTGATCTCAACTGTGAGAAGGTGGTTAAGATCATTCACTCGTAACACGATTGCCTGTTTGAGTCCCTGGAGGGGCATGGCTGTAACACCTTTGGGCAAAGCTCTGATTCGCTCCAGTAAAATATCCAGCTGAACAAACAGGCAAAAACTGCGAGCTGCTTTGGACATCATCACCAGCTAAGCATCTAAATGTGAATCAATGACCCAGCAGAACGGCTCAGAAATTTTATGCTTTACATTAGGCAAGCATTTTCCTGCGTGGCGCAGCATCAGCGTCCAAGTAGATTTGAGCTCCCAGGCTGAATTTGGCCCTTCCTGACATCTACTCCACATGGTGTCTTTACTCCTCCTGTGATGTCTACCAAACACCCTCAGCATTACCTCTTTCCCACCGTCTTGGGTGCACAGTAATGCAGACCCGCAGCCGCCTGGCTCGATCGTGACACATGACACGTCTTTTCCTTGAAGGAGAAGAAAGCCCCGCCCACTTTTCTGTTGTGCAGAGAGACTCCATATCTGGACAGATTTATTTGAGGCTCTAGTTTCTGCCTTTGAGACCGAAACCAATTGTCTTCCCTGCTTCCCAGAAAAATATTGCCAATTAGGGTAATATGTATTGCAAAGAAATCCCTTGAGGAAATAATGAGAAATGGGGATGGTGTCTGGGCAGGAGCCGTGCTAGGGACGTCCACGCGTGTCCTTCGCTTAGTGCTGCATTTCAGGCACAGAGACGGAAAGAATAACGTGCAAACTGGGAACACTGACAGGGCAAAGTGTTATGTTTCTGTGCTCGGAAACCGGACTCTTCAGAAAACTGACTTTTTCATCTTTTACCTAAGGGAAATTGAATATTTAAGTTAATTAAATATTAAGCTTGATGATAAGCATACACGAAATTTATCTGTGTCATTACTGACTTTTAAGTAAATACACTGTTCGTCATCCTTTATGAACATGTTGCGCTCCCTCATGTTCTGTGCTCCTAACTGACTAAGATTAGAGGGCAGGTAACATGACGCTGCATAAATTAAGCGGGCTGGTTTACTTCCAGTGGGTTTTAAGGCATAATGCTTCAGTAATCCAATATTGTGCATTAGAGTGGTGTACAAGAAATCACTATCAGTGGATATTACTGTTTTTGGAATATAAAAAGCAGGACTTTGATGGCATAATCACTTTCTTAGCAAAGAGAGTGAGTATATGGGGTACATAATGCTCATCTGTATGTGTTCACAGTAATGTGGGTACCAGATTATTTTATTTTTTTGCTTGCAATTATCTCTTGTAAAATTTTTGACGCAACGAAGACGTATGAACTCACAGCAGGGAGGCCCGTGCCGGGACATGTTCGTGTCAGATTCGATTTTATATTCTTCACAGTGCTGCCTTTGTGGTTGACCTGCGACTCTGAGTCGACTAAAGGGCGCCTTGTCTCAGACTGAAGTGGTTTTAATAAAAATGTCAGCAAAGCCGCAAAATGTGTAGGTGTGGCACTTACTAATATGGCGCCTTTTAGCGGAGCTTTCATGTCTGCCTGCAGAGTTCAGAGCTTGGACAGTGAAGCGGCATTACTCCACAGCATGCCCCCGCTTCTATGTATTCCTTCTTAAAAGGCTAGATATCCCTATACCTAATCCCTGGATCATATACGTACCATTATCTTTGTAATGGAGTGTTATTGCCCTAGAAAACGTTTTAGTAATTTATGAAAATGTTTTTCATGGAATGCGTCATTGTTTTTGATTAAGTTGGGCATCCTTCAACCCAGCTGTCAAATATTGCAATGTCTGGTTTAGTCTAGGGTTTCCCAATTTTACCCATTTCCTTAGGAACTTACGTTCGAATTTCAGCTTGATCTGAAATTTATTTACTCCTCGTGTTTCCTTATAATGAGTAACATAATACCGACATAATTGTAGTACTACAATAGCATATGCTTTCACAAAATAAATGCCAGTTACAAATCTGACATTCCAAACGTTCATACATTTTCATTATACCTAACCACAATATGATACATCTATTGTTTTTTTCTAGCAGTGGCCACCTAGCAAGTCAAATGTAAAAGCTCAGTTGAGTGTCGACATCTTACTGTTGCCGAGACAAGTAAACAAACAAAAATCAAATTTCCGGCACTTTCCTGTTGAGGTGTCTGCTATGAGTCCGTGCCCCTGCGCGTGCTTAACCACGCGTTTATATATCCACTGCGCTTTGGATGTCGTTCAGCCAGCTTCAGTACAAGCTCAGCATCGGGCCTTCCATAATATAACACCGAATAAAACGATAAAGGCTAAGAACATCAACTTAGCGTAATACTATTTCACATTACCGAGAACATTAATATTAAAAGCAGGTCATTACTACAGTATTTCCTAGGGTGCTAGGCCTATTTGTCCCGTTTTAAAAAAAAAACCAACTGGCAATCTATTACGGCTACATAGTTGCCGATTAATATGTACATAAACAATTCAGGTAAATGCGCTATATGGTAAAACACATATAAACCTTCACTTGGTCAACACGGCCCCGGTTAGAACTTGGACCTGTATCCTTGTGATTCCAAATTTAGCACGGATACAAAGAGTGCGAGCAAATGAAGCCAAACGTCGATACGGCTGTCAACAGCATAGTGGGTCCTAAAAGGGAATTATGCATTGTGCGGTATAGAAATGTTTTGAAATGTCCTCATCGGGGTTCTCTTGGGTCCATAAACTAATGAGAGAGTCATTACAACCCACCATCCCAGTCGAGGATCCATGCATTTTTAATTGTCGGAGGTCTGTGGTGCCTATTATTGTGATGAGCACAAACATCCTCCTCTTATACGACAGGCCACTTCTTTTAAAGAGAGAATGATGAATGCTTTTAAAGTGCCGGTTAAAATGCGTGCGCACTTCAGGTGCACGCGTCTATAAACACAATAATGAATCCCGAACAAACTCGGCTCGTGTGCCCAGGACCCGCATCCCTTCTTTGCAATGATGTAAGAATGAGGATTCGCCAGTGAGCGCAAGATCTCACGCCGCAAACCGGCCAGCGCACGGCCCAGCGGGGAGTGGGGGGGGGCTTCCTGTGCCACTAACCAACGGCGCCCGCCGCTAAATGACCTGCTTCCCTGCGCTGCTTGAGGAACAATTAAAAACAGAAACCAAAAAAATAAAAATAAAAAATACGTGTAGAGGAAATTGTAGACCAGACACGCAATTCAAAGTGAGCGAAAATCAAAGAATGCTTCATTTCTCAACTGATATTACAGCGTGCGTTACTTTTCTAATCTTCTTCGCCATTCACGCATGTATAGCGCTCCAGAGATGTGGAAACCTTCAGTGCGGCGAGGGACAGCAGTGCTGTGCGCAAGGTAACGCCAGTAGCACCCCCCGATGCTGCAAGTTCTCACGGCACACGTTTCTCGACAACCTCAGACTGATAACAAGCAAACTGTGGGGAATCCTGATTTTGCTGTTCCTCTTCGCCATGGGCTACTTAATCCAGCGCATCATCTGCCCAAAACCCCGCAGGCATCACGAGAGGCAGGAAGAGCCGACGCTGTTCAGCAGAAGCGCAACGGCGTCCCAGGACTCGCTGCTGGATCGCATGCCAGAGTACCGGCCTGGGGACTTAACCTCACCGGTGCTGCAGCTGCCGGCGTACGACGAGGTGAAGTACTTGCCGACGTACGAGGAAACCATGAAAGAAGCGGACCGAGACCGATCCAGTGACAATTTACTAGTTTCATCGGAAGAACAGGTACCCACAGCGCGGCCAGGGCGGAGAGGACAGGAGCCGAAAACGTTAAACATTGCTAGGACACCCTGGAATACCGTCTGACGAAATGTCACTTTATATGAATATAGGTTGTTTATTTTACGATAAGTATATTTTTTAAACTTTTATGTGCTATATGAAGTTGAATGTTAAAATTGTGAGAAATACTTTGCTTTGTCGTTAACCGTGTGTATTTTTTCCACAAAAGCTGGGGACAACTTGTTTTATATGTAACTTTAAGATTTAAACAGGAAATAAAGGACTAACCGCTCAGAAAGAAGCAACTCTTAAATTTCCATCGTGCGTAAAACTCACAATAATGTAACTGTAGTTCTGCTTCAAAATTTTAATGCACCTACTCTTGATAAATACGAAATCAATGTCTCTTACATTACATATCGAATAAATCCAGTGTTGTTTTTTATTAGTTTCTCCTGGGAGTAAGATTTCTGCACTGAGCATCTGTGTGGAAAGGCAGCGTTAGATTCGCGTCGCGGTGAAAGTGTCTATTCCACCTTGATTATCTGACTGAGAGGAGAGAGGAATTCGTTCACACGGGCTCTATGCAAAACTCGAGTTTGTGGGGTGCACTACGCTGTCACATTCGGACCCATCTGTCCATGCACCGAAAAGAAAATGTTGTGAGGGCAAGGTTTACATTTTAGTCGCTTTCTGTGCGCTCTAAAATAGGGGACTGCACAAAGCCGATTGACCAAGTGTGGTGCAGGTGACTCCATTAAAAAGAGGTAAAATAGGCTCGTTCCATGGATGCGGAAATTAATCCTTAACCTTATGATAGTAGTCTAGTGGAGCGTCACAGCACTCGACTGTCTGGCATAACATCTGCCTGTTCCCAACTCAGCATATAATCAATGGTTTACAACTAAATACATTACAAATTCTCCAAATGGGTAACTGCATCGTTTATACTATAAAATGGTTTTAGTATTTATGAGTATGTAAAGTTGTAATGGATTAATATTAAACACACGTACATCTAAAACCAAAGGTGGCTTTCGTAATTCCATGTTGCCATTATGTCTTTTCAAAAGCAACCTGCATGCTGAACACTTTTGTAAGCTGGACCAGACCGGTCTGGATAGAGTTTAGCAAACACCCGGCTGTTCATTTGCTGTGAAAGCAGACAGGAGGAGAAGTCCCACAGAGGAAAGCTGGATAGCTTCTGAGTGGCAAAAAATATACCTGCGGTACTCATGCAGTCCAATATCTGAGCTAGTTAGAGTTGGGCGCCTGGTTCTCTAAATCTCATCAAGGTGTCCTCTTGTGTGCACAGTAGATAGATTATAGAACTGACACAAATTAGACCAGTTAGCATTGATGGAATAAGCATCAGAGCACAATACTGCCCACTTCCCAGAGGTTCTGCTCCATGGCTTTGGGTTATCTTGTCCCTGTTGCATGTCTGCAGCTTTACCCGTGACCATACTGTACAAGTGTGATTCAGCAGGGGATCTATGGGCAACACCCAATGCTGTCAAGCTTGGGGCATCTTATCCTTACATCTTTTGGACAACAAGCCCAAAACATGAACAAGTAAGCCAATTATTTAATTCCTAAATTTCCCAAACATTTAATAAAATTTTAAGTCAAACTGTGTTTTTCTAGAAGACAAAGGGGCATTTTTCCCAGTCGGTGTACAATGGGGCTGCGCATCCTGTTTGTTGTGGTAATGCGATGGAAACTTGATCTAGGGGTGGGTCACAGGCATCAAGCCCCCTCCCCCCCGTGCTGGAGATGCGACATGGCGTGGCGTGCCTTGGAAAGAATTGGTGCAGGCGCTGGGGTTGGGAGGAGGGGAGCAGTGGCACGTTTAACAAGAGCCTGCTGCAGCACCCAGGAACACGGCTGCCCTCTTAACCCCCCCCCCCCCC